GGATCTGTGTCATTTGTGAATTATACCTTCCAGTAGTAAAATKATTTCATTTTCCAGTGTTGCTAGTGATCAAGTCTCTTTGAACATTAACTTTCTAGAGGTTAGGTTGCCCTTTTCAGGTATAAACTCTTGGGTACAAAGGACTTGCAATTCACTTTTTTGGTAATTACTATATATAAAATGCAGTATCAACACATTCTGTTTCAAAAGAATCACACACAATACTTATGCTACAAATACCAAACGTTAAGTGCTTTGTTTTATCATGCCAGTAAGAGGAGAGCAAAAGGACCTTGCAAGGGAGTGCGTTTTGTCATATCTTTTTAACTGTGAGAAGTGAAAAATTATTATAGTAAGACGAAGAACTGGCCTATTGACAAATACATTGTCTAATCTAATGGCAACAACTTTACCTTACGCTTGTCAAATAATTTCTTTGGGAGCTGTAATCCTGTAAAGTATGAGTAAAAAGATGTTTTATCGGAGTGGATATTTTACAATATTTTATGTTTTTTATTTGGGTATAAATAATTACAAAAAGCGTAATAGAAATAAGGCTATGATAAATCATGATCCCTCCCTCAAGACTTTATTTTAGGCATTTGAAATAATTATTTGGGTAAATGCCTACTCAAAACTTCTATCTTTAAATAAATTATTTTTCCTTTGCTTTTTGATCCTGTTTCCTTTGCATTTTGCAGTTTGAAAACAGTTTATGCTTTCCATTAGATAATGGAGATTTTKGGGGKTTTTTTTGTTTTTTTGAAATAGGATTTTTTTCTCATCTATTACAACTTTACTTTTATAACATATGTAATTCTGAAGTTGTGGGTTGAGAAATTGCTCACATATTGGTTCACTTACTCCATGTTCACTTGTACTTATTTTAAATGTATTCTTAATTGATGTCCTTACTTGGRACATCCTGCAATTTTTAAGGTTACCTCTCCTAGAATACAGTGAATTTCAGAGTATTTATTTAAACTCAAAGCAGTGCTACTGCTTTTCCATTCTACACCACGCTAAATATAGGKCTGTGAACCACCTTTTGCTGTTTTGTAATCCTAGGCTATTATTTCCAGTTTTGCATTTCCTTTGAAACATTTTTTGGATATCTGTAGAACRCTGAGAATGATAAATATCCAAGGGTAGCTGTCTCTGAATTAAGAGTTTATCCTGAAGAGGATAAATCTCCTCTGAATCTTAAAAGCTGGAAGCTGGATGACTTTTGTGCATTTATGCTCTCTAGCTTGCATTTGGCATTTCACTGAATGCACAATTGTCAAATTCCTCAAACTTCCTTACCAAATAAATTGCTTTTTATCTCTTTGCTGTATTCGGAGAAAGAAAATGGCATCATGGAAAGACTAAAAAAAGGGACAGAGGTGAGAATTTCACAATTTTTGGAGAGCRTTAAGATAAAATATTTGGGAGTTTTCTTGGATATGGAAACATTTTCATGGCTTTCAAGTTTTAAAAGCTCTGTTCCAGTTAGACTTTAGTGTTCTATGAATGTTCAGCCCTGTTTCTCAGAGTAAAAAGTAAATGTACTCCGATGTGTTGGGAGTTTTTTATTGTCTCTCTTTGGTGGACTAGGTGGTTTTTGTGTTGTTGAACTCCGTAACCTCTCAGGTCCCTAAAAAAACAACCATTTGCCCTTCAGACACTCTAAGTTGGCTAATGCTTTCTTTAGAATGCATCAATCAGCAGTGTTTGAAAACTCATCAGTGTTTGTTGTTCATCCTAAGCATCTCTTTGTTCGCAGTCTTCCCCAGTAGGCTGTTTGTCGTCACCACCAAGCTTGCAGGACCCGGGGCTCTCCTCTCTCAGGTTTCTGCTCTGGGCAGCCAGCAGCTTCTCCACTCATATCCCCTTCCTCATATCATCAGGAAAGGAGGGTAACAGGCTGCTCACCACCCTCCCTTGACACCTTGAGCCCACAGTTTGCTAATGCTTCACTCTGCTCTTAAGCTATGCTGGACACTTGGGGGCAAGAGCAAGATTTCTCCAGTATGAAACACTTGAGAGCAGTTTATTCAGGCTCTTCCTCCCAGTCTCTCCCACTTCCACCCCAGTGGTGTCCCATACCACGTCCAGACAGCAGTTCTTGTTGTGTTTGAAGAGCAGCCAAAAGGGCAAGCACTGGAGAAAGCAATTGGAAAGGCCAGTGCCAAGCTGGCATTCTTGGCAAGCTGTGACTAGAGGTTGACTACAGAAGTATAGTTAGTATTAGTTAGGTCCTGGTGCAGATTTTAGGTCCTGGTGCAGATTTATTTATTAGGTCCTGGTGCAGATTTCATGGCCCTCTTGCACCGTGTTGTGGTTGTAACGAGCTCTCATGTATTACCAAGGTTTAACTCCATGATTATTCTTTGCTTTGAGACGACTCTCTCTTGCAAATTAAACTATCCTTTCATGATTAAAAGAAACTTTGATTTTAGTCTGCTACTATTCCACTTTGCTTGATCTGTCTTGTTTATAATTCAGTTTCTTTTTCTACACAAATGTATCCTAGAGGTTTACTTAATGTGAGCAAATTGCAGCCCAGTTTGATTTGAACTTCTGCTGAAATATACTAAATGGATAAGGTAAATCTCTGGGCACTGAGCATCTGGATTCCATGGGCAACGAAACACACTGAGCAAGACTTCAGGAAATTACARTATAAACTTCTCTACCCCTTTTCTTTCAAGGGCAGCAGAGGGGAAGGGTCTGCCTGCTTGCATGTGCCATTTTTGTATGCTAACACTTCCTGCATTCACAGGTGTGTTCTGTTTCTCGACAGGTATGTTTGTGTTTTGGAATTAACAAATCTAACTGTGGTTTATTGTGTACAGTGCAGACACTTAGTACTAGCATAGTATTTTGTGAACAAGACAAATGCACCRTACTTAACAGCTCATATCACAGCAGGGTTGTCTGATCATACCTTGCTATAGAGCTCTTTTAAAAATGACAGTGAGTATATTCTGAAACCAGAATATTTCACATTCTAAGCCTCTGTGCACAACAAAGTTTAAAAAAAAAAAAGTGAACTCTACCATATTTCACCATATTTTTAATTTTTGAAATAAGTGAGGAAAGGTTTGTTAAATATGGGCAACAGCCATCTGAAAGGAGAATTTCTACCAGTAAATACACAGACAAATACAGAATTTTTTCAGGATCACAGAATTCCATTAGATTTTGTAATCCCAACCTGATGTATAATGCACGCTACCACACTGCATCCAGATATTCTTATAGAGCGCAAAATATGAGGGCATAATAAATGCATATGTTGGCAAGTCTTATAAGGGCCACTTCCTCTCCCCCTAAAGAGTTCTTTTACTTGACCTATTATGACTACACAGTCTTTAAACACAGAATTAAAGCCAGATGTAGCTAGATCTCCTCTGTTAAGTACTTCTAGCAAATCAGTTTTTCTGTGGATCAGAGGCTTCATAAGAGAACATTTTAAAATTCATAAATAATTAAGACTGAAAGGTTTTTGACTTAAAGATTTATTTATCCTGGAGGAATAATAAAAATTTTATAGTCAGTGTGCTGAGAAACAGTATTTTCTCTAGCCTTTTATTATCCTGGATCTGCAAATGTTTCAGATCCATGTTCAAATTGGAATTTTAAATCATTCTGAAAAGACATTTTCCTCTTCAACAAAAATCTACCTGCCAAGGAATGCATTAAGGATAGATGTGGAAAGTTTTGTATGTTGCTTTATTAGAATTAGCTTAATTGTGTTGACAAACAAATGCAAATGAAACAAACAAATACAGATGGGACAAGTGGGACAAGATTCTTATCTTTTAATGTTGTTGGTCTCTTTTTCTGCTAAGCTTATTACCTGCTTTGATTTTAAATCTGATCCTCTTTTCATACAGACTTGAGTTCAGTCAGCAGAGCTCTACAGCCATAAAACTGGTGTGTTGGCCTTGAAAGCCAGGTATCCAAAGTCTCTTAAGCCAGAGGTTTTTCTGATTTTTTTTTAATTATTTCAAATTGCCTTTGTTAAGACACACTAAACAAGCAATCAACAGATAGGTCATTTGCAGGAATCCTTTTTTCCCATTTGCCACAAAATTTTCCTTTTGAGAATTGCATCTTGTATAATTGATTATAAATTATACCAGAAACCTGTTAAGCATTTTTTTTATCAGACAAGGGTTTTACAGAAATAAAGCAAAACTTCTTATGTTCTGGTGGGATATGGACCTTGTTTGTTGCACACGTAACAGTGATATGCAAAATACTCTGAAAATCATGTATTTCCTCACATAGGTATAACAAAAAATCATATAAAAAATGAAGTTTGATGCTTTTTAATACTATTAAGGCAAAAATTGCATTCCTCTTTCCTGACACTAGGCAGTGACCACTGACACTGGGAATTTAGTCAGAACATACAGTCTTAGCTCAGGGTACGCTTCCCTGTTTTTAAATGCAACAGAAGAAAAAGAAATGCCCTTCATGGAGAACTGAATGTGTCAAAAAACTTGCTGGGAGAAGTAGACCATTTCCTCCTCTTTGGGGAGCTCTTCTTTTAACACAGCCACATCTAAATAATACCCTTGTATGTAACAATGTACTAATAACACAAGTAAGATGATGTCTAACAGTTTTTTTTTTTTTAATTGTGAATTGCATTTAAGTGAATTTCTCCATGGGTCTACTTGGCCAGAAGTTCTTAAATTTACTGTGTAGTTCACAACTATGTCAGTAATCATTCTCATTCCCAGAGCACATGGAGGCATTTCTAGTCGTTTCTGATCCGGTTGTCATTACTAGCCTCATAAGAGCAATTGTTTGCAAGTTGTGGAATGCTATTTGTTCTGAAAAGAATGTTTTGTTCTGTAGTGTATTTTCTTCCTGTCTTCAGTGGCTCTGCCTGCTTTCTGTGCATGTCTTATCCATAGAAGCAATTGTATGGTCACTGGAATGATTCCAGTTCTGATGTCTTTCTTTTTTTGTTGTTTTTTTTTTTTGTTTTCCTCTTCTTTCAGTCCACAGCCRTGAGTGAACCACAGTGCTACTACAATGAAACCATTGCCTTCTTTTATAACCGGAGTGGAAAATATCTAGCCACTGAATGGAACACTGTCAGCAAGCTTGTAATGGGCCTGGGGATTACCGTCTGCATCTTCATAATGCTGGCCAACCTCTTAGTTATGGTGGCTATTTATGTCAACCGCCGTTTCCACTTTCCTATTTATTACTTAATGGCCAACTTAGCTGCCGCGGATTTTTTTGCAGGCCTAGCCTACTTTTACTTAATGTTTAACACAGGACCCAATACYAGAAGACTGACTGTAAGCACCTGGCTTCTCCGTCAGGGCCTCATTGACACTAGCCTGACAGCCTCTGTAGCCAACTTGTTGGCCATTGCTATTGAGCGGCACATTACCGTCTTCCGCATGCAGCTACATACTCGGATGAGCAACCGTCGAGTCGTGGTTGTAATCGTTGTTATCTGGACAATGGCCATTGTAATGGGTGCCATTCCAAGTGTCGGCTGGAATTGCATTTGTGATATCACTCATTGCTCCAACATGGCACCGCTCTATAGTGACTCCTACCTGGTCTTCTGGGCTATTTTCAACCTGGTCACTTTTGTGGTCATGGTGGTTCTGTATGCTCATATCTTTGGGTATGTCCGCCAGAGGACTATGAGAATGTCCAGACACAGTTCTGGACCCCGCAGGAATCGGGACACCATGATGAGCCTCCTGAAGACTGTGGTCATTGTACTTGGTAAGTACTTATTTTATCCTCTGTGTTTTTCCCGCTTGTGTTTCTTATTAGGTGATTGCAGTAATGTATCAACTTCAGACAGGTCCACAAGCATCTCAAGATATTAAAGGCAGAGAAGGACAATAAGAACTCCCAATGTAAACAGTGCTGCAATTAAGTTTATTTTTGGAATTGAGAATTAAAAAAAAATGGTCACTTCGCCTTGTAACATATAAGGCAGTACGTCATTAACTGGTGAAGAAGGTGAACAAGACCTTCAAAGATATGCAAGTCTTTTGTATCAGTGGAGGTTTAAAATCCATTGTGGCAACATGTGCACATCCTTTTGCCTTAGAAGAAGCTAAATGGCTGCAGTCTTAGTACAGAGGAGGCTCCAACTACAACATTTAAGTACCAGTTTTGCCACTCAAAATATGGTATTGGGTGTATTCAGGCTATATGGAAACCAGTTAAAGACTGCAGGTTATTGATAAAAAAGATTTTTTGTGTTAAATAAAACTGCCTCAGAGTTTAGCGCAGCTCTCTGCAATAACGTGCTGCAGATCTTAATATCTATTAATTTGCTAATCCAGAATGATAACATGGCAGATATTGATGTGCTTTGRCATAATGCTCAGGGGGTCCCTAAGCTCCAGGCTATGGAAGAGAACGAGGCAAACGTTTTGACCCATTTTGAAGTCGGTGGGTTGCTCTCTTCTGTGGTTGGCTCTGGCGCCTAGTATTGCTCTTATATTCTTAGTTTTCTTTCGCAAAAGCACGGTCTGGATTTTGGGCACAATCCCCGGGTGATTTTCCATGCAGTTTGTTCTGCTCTTTGTTGTTGCAAACAGTGAGTGGCAGGGAGCCAGGGATGATGCTGGTTGTCCCTTTGTCCCAAGTGGGGTTCCCAGCTGCGCATTGCACTAGCACACGACCCAACCCTCTTGGGATGCCAGCCCCAGTTAGATGGTGATGTTTCCCTTGTATCCTGCTCCATAGATGCAACTTTACCCAATCTGCCAAGATCAAAACTTTATCTTCGTTTTTGCATTGCCAACCTGATAGTTAATGACTTGGCACCGTGACTTGTGTTTTCTAGCAGTTACTGTCTGCACAAACAAGACAAGATTGCAGAGCTCTGATTTAACGTAGCAACTTTTACTTTAGTTTAAAAAGGAACATTTTGCTTTTTTCACCAGCGTATGAACTATGTAGATGAAATTGTTCAGCCACTGATGCACTCATCACTGTTCTTATGTGTCTCTTCAGGAAAAGCATAACTCCTTCAGTTTTATGAGGGTCTATAGAGTGCCAAGCAAAGGCTTTTCTGCCTGTGTGGTGATTTGAAAATGTTCTTTCCTACATCCATGGTTATCTATGTAAAACACGTACAAAACCAAGGGTTTGGAAAGAAAGAGAAAACAGGTTTTGCAGACATTTTAGTAAGTGAATTCGTATGTTCCCTTCTGGATGAACTGTTGTTCATGCAATTCGTACAGCACTGGAATATATCCTGTGAAGAGAATGACTGATGTGGACCTTAAAGACCACATAAACAAATGAAAAAAAAACAAAGAGTAGGGGGAAATAGTGGGCATTTCGACTATGCTTGGCAGAGTTGTAGAAGTACATAAGTAGAAATAAATCAATAAATTGCACTCAGTAGTATGTGTGCACTTGGAAAGTGCTAGTTAGTCTTGTTCTTGGAAATACAGCTAGTCACTCTTTTCTCCTGTTGTTACGAGCAGAGGTCACTCTGCAGTTATGTTGGACACAATGTGGCCACAACACTAAAGATGTACATAGAACATGAAGATTTTCCCTAATACTATTCTAGAGGTTAAGTAGCATTATTCAGACTGCTGGTGACTCAGATTGCTGATGTAGTTCAGTAACAGCATGGATGTCTCATTTAGATTACTTTGGTAAGATTTTTTGCTTGTTTGTTCCTTACCAGTGCAATTAAATTTACTTGTAGGGCTTTGCATGTATTCTACTTTGGCACCTCTTCTAATTGACGTAAGTCATCATTTACAGGGAGCAGAAATGTGTTATTTTATTAAATCTGTTGACTAGAGTTTGAAGAAAATAGAACTGCCAGACAGCCACACTCTTCATTYTTTTTTTTTTTTTTGAATCTAGATCTGCAAAAGGGCAGTAAATAAATCTCCGAGCTTTTGGGGCATGTGGCCTGTTAGATTGGTCAGAGTTTCTTTTTACATTACCTCAAAAGAGCCCGATCTTTTCCAGACAGTTTGCCTTCTACTTCAGTGTTACTCTGGAAAAAAGTTTATTTAAGATAGCTGTGTCTCTTGGTTGAAGGAGTTAAATCATAAAGATATCGACTGAAATGATTTTTTTTAATTAACTAGTTTTGCAAGGCCTTTTTCTGCTCAAAGGCATTTCAGAACACACACTTTGTTTCATTTAGTACTGCAACTGCATGGTAAAGAAGTAGAAATATTTTCATCTCCATGTCACCTGTGACAATCAGGAGCAAGATAAAGGGCAGAACAGCTTTTAGAATAATAGCCAGTAACTAAGAAGTAGAAGCATCTGTATTACCTTGTGATGCTAAATTCTTGTATGTCAGGAGCTATCCTGACTGCCAGATGATCCACAAGGCAATCTCACTGGCTGTGATCAGCAAGATAAGTACTCTCCTGTATTGATGAATATGGGGGGTTATTTTTGTTTATAAAAGCAAACAGGCATCACTTGGGAGCTCTGTTTAGGAGACGTCTCAGGATGGAACACACAGCTCAGTACAGTTAGCCTGTTGATCAGCAGTGTTTAACATCGTGCTTTTATACTGCCCAAAGTCTGCTTGAAAGTCTGTTCTAGCATTTTCATGAGAGAAAGAGTTGTTTTCAAGTGTAGTACTTCCTGAATGCCTTCTTGCAAAGGCAATGGGGAAAGACAGGAAAGCTAGGTCTCTCTTAGCAGAAGCCTGCTGAACGCTATTGCATTTATTTTCTTTCTTTCTTTTTTTTTTTTTATTAATAAATTCAGTAATAAAGAGTGAAAGAACCCCGCCCTATTTAAGAATAATGCATAACATTTTGAGGAAAAACTCAACTTTTTGCTGATGGGAGAGGGGAAAGGAAATGTTTCAGTTTATTCCTCAGACCTCCTGTCTTCTCACTCATGGCTAGCAACTGARTGAGGAAGGGGATTGATGTACGCCCCTTTGCTGAAAAGAGGCATTTTGTTTTAAAGGAGAGGCAGAATACATTGGGCACCAAAGACAACTGGATATATGAGGCTAAGTAAACCGGTATCCTTCACAGAGAAGAGCGAAGTAGTCCTCTTTTTAATGTCTGTCTTAAAATGCTGCACACTCATAAGYAGCTCCCACTGCAGTTCAAACAACCATGTAGTATTTGACTTACTTTTAAACCGAAATGAACTGGTCTTTCCAAAGTTGCCAACTTACTGATGGTACTCAGAAGCAGAGCCTCACTTGTGAATGCAGATCSTCATATTTCCCCCTTTTTTTTATCCACTCTGCAGTTTGCATGGGGCTGGAAGGGGGCAGAAATAAGCACAAGAGTTTCTTGTTTCCTACTTGCCTAACACTGCCTGCCTTCCCCTTGCGTTGCTGCCTTGTTTCACGAGGACAAGAGCCGCTATGAAAGGGGGAGGAAAAACCCTCTCCCAGTGGTGATGCTGTCAGCTTGTGTGTGGTGGAAGCCAGTGGCCTCTCATAAGGGCTCATTGTCCAGCTAATGACTAGGGCAGCTTGACACTCCGGCTGGAGCGGTCGGGATCTGGCACACTGCGTCATCCCACAGAGCTCACAGGATATTCAATCCTACAACCAAGTCAGAAGCGCAGAACGTATTTTTATTATTATTTTCGTGCCCTTTTGTTTTTTTCTACTTGAGTAAAATATTTCAAACAGAAGGAAGTGATTTCATAGTTGAGCTCTTTTTCTTTTAACAGGCCTCCTTTTGAAATCTTTTGAGCGTGACAACATAAAGCTTTTTCTGTAGAACATGGCTTTCTTTTGCACAGGGATGTAGGCAGAATTGATCTGTATATCACAAATGGCTGTAARATTTTGCCCAGTTGACCTAAAACTCAATGACACTTTGTTTTTTACCAGTCAAAGAGACCTGCAAAAACCTAGCAGTTTAATGTTGGTGTCCTTTCTCCCATCCTCTCCTTTTTCTGCCATCCATGTTACTTACGTTTAAGGGTAAAGCTAAGTTGTTCTTCCTAGTGGAGAAGTTGAACTTTGAATGTTGAAACAAACATACTTTTGTTTCAGAAATTTGGAATTAGCAATATCTCACAGCTGTTTGAGAAAGTCATGGTAAAATTTCTGAAAAAAGTATTCAGAACTGTGAGATGAAATGCTACTTGTGCTCTGGATTTCCAAGGCCTATCGTAAGTCATGAAGGGCTAGCTTTTTCGAGGTTCTTTTATGCAGGCACTTGCAGTCCCATTAGGTACTTACAAGTTTTGGAAAGCTGACCTATATATTATCCTGCCTAAATGACAGTTAAACACTGGTACTTAATTTGTCAGCTCATGTTTTTGAAAAGAGGAGGACTCTTCCCCATACTTCCATATATGTCATTTGGTAGCCTTTTCTGCTTAGAAATTAGACTTTGTCAGACATGCTTTCTTCTGTTGTTCATATGCTGCAACAAAAACAGAAAATGGAAGAAAACTTCATATGGTGTGTGGTACCCCATCAGAATGTATAGAAGTTTGAAATGCTATTACTAGTTATCTTTCATAGCAATTATTCAATAGCTTTTCTTGTGACTGAATAGAAGACTACTACTTTAAGCATATAATATTAAGGTTTTTACCTGATACCTAACTGATAGAATAAAGCAATAATTCTTCTTCCATATAGACAATGTCTAACTCAAAGTTAAACTTTTCCTATTTTCCTTTATTATTATCCCTCGTGTTTGCCTTCTTTGTTGGGTGAATTCTGAATAGTGTTTGACCAATATGAGACATGGCTGTTGAGGGAGTGAAAAAAGAAGAAATCCTGTCTACTT